GATTTGTTGTGCTGAGCAAAAAATTCGGTGCTGAATAAAGGCTGACAAGAACAAGCTTACCGGTTAAAAATCATCACCCTTTCTTAGTGCTGAAGGCAATGCAGTGCAATTATCGCGTGAAATTTTTTTGCATAAATTTAATCGAACTTGTTGGTGTTCAGCTTCATCTAAGTGTGAGCATCATAAATAGGAAAAGTCCCCTATTAACGATGGGTTTTTTTAAGACAGTTTCCACTAATATAGGCTCAAATTTTTTCCTTGCTTTTGCTTTTTTTGTTTTAGGTCGGATCTGTTTTAATTTACTTCTCTTTATAGTGCCAAAATGCTCCTTTCTCTTTACTGTTACCCGCAGTTCCAGCCTATGGGCTCCTGACTTGAATCCTTGTCTCCTTTTTCAACGCAACCTTCAATTTGTGCCTCCAGAGGAACACTGAGTTTTCGCCAGTCCCCAGAACTGCACTCTCCAATCTGCTATATAATCAGTCCCTTTTCTATCCCAAGGCTCTCAGTCCAAAACCATACCTCCCCTCTTTCCCACTCATCATCTCCTAAATTTACGTCAAGCAGCCACCAAATCCATAAACGAGTGCATATTGCGCGGCCGAGCTGAGTTTAGCAGTTATGCGTTTTGTGCTGTGTAACAGCGTTACAAAACGCATATTGTCACGGGGTTGTCTGTGTGTGTTTGTGTGTGTGTCCCACATTTTGTCCTGCACTTTCAACTCGGGAACCACAAAAGCGAGGCGGCTGAAATCTTGGTATAGTGTTCCCCGCCAACGGGTGACGCGGCAAATTTAAATCCAGCCTTCCCGTACCCGCGGGTAACTCGTACGGCCCCATGAAAGTTTTTTACGGGTAAGTCAATATCTCAGGAACCACGGAGTCTAGGAGGCTGAAATTTTAGGGTAATGAACCCCCGCCCATGCTCAACCTTGCCCATTCAAATTCAGCGTTCCCGCACTCTCGGGTATCACCTACGGGCCAGTAAAAGTTTTTACGGGTAAATTATTATCTCGGGAACCACGGGGTCTAGGAAGCTGAAATTTTAG